TGCAAGCTCTCAGGTCTTGTCAACCCAGGCATGGCTCTTCAGCCAAGAACCCCCCGCCATCGCTTCAAGCCATCAGGTGTAGTGAACTCGTTGGTTCACTCTGGCCATTTTGCCGGACATCTGCTTCAGCACTTCACCTCCGTCATATAGATATCTTTGCACAGCTGAGCTACTCCAGCGGCCCATTCTCTTCACCAATTCAATCTCGCCACTCGCTTGAAACAACGCACTTGCGCCCCCAATGCGCAAGCTGTGCGACATAAAGCGATCCGAAGGTAAGCCTTCTGCTTTCGCTGCCTTCTGGAGGATCACCTGCACTTCGGTCCTCTTCAAAGTTAAAGAAGTTCCATTCCCCCATCTGAAAAGTGGGAGATGCGACTCAGGCCCTGGAGCGAAGCGACGTCCTGCAACCGCTCGAAGTTCCTCTAGAGCTCGTACAGGACATAGAAAGGCTTCCCCAGTGGCCCCCATAGTTTTGCACGATCCAAAGGCTTCCTGGTCCGCTTTGGTCTTGCGGAATTGGACTGTCACTTCATTCGCCTGTTCGGTCACGTCCTGGCCATCCCGAGTCAGGCGAACGTCCATGCCCCTGATCACCATCTGGTAGTCAATGCCTCCGGAATCGCAGTACTCTTTGGCACGCAACATGAAGAACCATGCGACCAGGAGGGCTGCCTGCACCATGGCCTTGTCCACCTTGTCCTCGCCCATGAGGTCCTCCTCGTTGAAGTGCTTCCCAACCCACACAAGCATGCCTGGAGTTACCCCCAGCCTTCTCGGCTTCTTGTCTGCATGGCGATCCAAAGACCCTACCAGCATCCATACCCTGAACATGCCGTCTGTGGGATCGCCAGCTCCTCCTCTTTTGTGGCCGTCCTTGATGGCGAAGAGGGCCTGCTTGATGGTCGCGGCCGTAGACCCCAGCCAGCCCAAGTAGCCCAAGAACGCGAGCAGGCGGTTCTCGTTCTCCAGCTTGTCCGCGCGGATGTCGAGGTAGCATGTGGTCCAACCCTGTCGTGCAGACCATGCTTCCCACTTTGTCCATGCCGACTGATACATCCGGAGCGTGCTGTTGGCCTTGCTGCCCGCAATGTTCTCCTCCAGCCACTCCTCCACTTGCTGGGAGACTCCGCCATCAAAAGGGGGGGCGACGTGGTTCCAGGCGCACTCGGCTTCCAGATGCCACTTCCTCTCCCTTCTGGCGAGTTGACGAAGGTGGCCCGGTCGTCCAAACCTGTCATAGACCTCAATCTTCTCGAACTCCCCGTTCTCCTTCCGCAAGGGCCATCGGCCGGGTCCTGCAAGTCCATGGACATTTTTTTCGTTCTCCCTCCGGAACATCCCAGGCATGGCCAACGACTTGAGGAAGTAGTGGGTCTCGAGGAATGCCCGGCTCGATCGTCAGCCGACAAGGCTTCTTCCAAATGAGGTCTAGGCCGTGAGGCGCTCTCTGCAGGCAGGTCCCCAAAGGTGGAGCGGTGACCGTGCGCACCAAGCACCGCTTTGCTAGGTCTTCCGAGGCGCCAAAGCTGGTAGCCACCAGACATGTGCGACGTCGGGCCAGAAGCTCCCCCAGCTCTGTTGACACAAACTCGAACTGGACGGGTTGCAAACCAACTTCGATCATGCCTCGAGCGGCCGCCTCCCACGGTCCGTTCCGGGGTCCCTCCCAAACAACAATCTGGGGCTTCTGGTCTGTGAGCTGCTTGTTGAACTCGGCCACGATCTTGCCCTTCTTGTCCACGGGGAGTGTCGCGACGACCACCTTGATCTCGCCCACGTGGTCCATGACATGTTGCCGTGCCAGCAGCTCGAAGTCCTTAACCCACCTGTCCTCAACGGCGAGCTCCACCACCTCGAGGCGCTCCCATGGTATGCCGACCGGGCGGTCGATGAAACGCTTCATGCGTTTCTCCTTGAGCTGCATCATCACGCGCCGGTCCTCCGGGTCCTTCCACGACAAGAAGCAGGGTCCGAAGCGATCTGTGTCCTCGATGGCCTGGCAAATGGCTGGTCCCAAGCTGACATTGTCCCAACCTTTCTTCTCCAAGAACTCGCCGAACTCGTCGTCCTCGCACCTGGTGATGAAGTCGGAGTCTGTGTTGTGATACGTCCTCCACCACGCTCCCACCAGGGTGAAGCCGTAGTTCATCTCGCACAGGTTGATGACCCGAATCAGCAGTTTGCCTGCTCTCAAACCACTCTGCCTCCTGCACACCCACTGTCTCACCGTGGAATTGTCCCCGGCGTACAAGACGACCTTTCCTTTCCAGTCAGGTCCCCGCTCGCACATAAACGCCACCAAGGAGAGCATCTCAGAGATATGAACCCTCATGTTGGCGTCATCCTGCATCTCCTGCTCGGCGACTCCCTTCAACCAAGGCTCTAAGTCGATCACCTTGGCCCGAGCTGCTTCTTAAACGACCAGTCAATGGCCCCGATCACCGTGGTGGTAGCATCGGACGACACCCAGATGGTGTCCTGCCACTCGTTGGGAAGACTCAGACGTTCCTTCACCGGCAGGAGCTCCTTCAGAGTGGTGCCAAAGCGATCCTCCCAGGTGTCGGAGCGGGCGCACAACCATCGGCAAACCTCGAACAGCTCCCACAAATCAGACCAGGCGTTCTCCTTCTCCAACTGCGGGTCCTTGTAGCCTAAGGATCGTGGGTTCGCAGGGAGGCCCCCTTCATCTGCCGACAGGAAAATGTCCGCGGCCTTCAACTCGTTTGCCAAACCCTTCACCACAACTCCCCATCCAGTCATGATCCCTCGGAACTGCTGCGTTTGGCGGACCGTGACCTTCTTCTGCCCTGCATCGAAGGCCTCGTCGGACAGGAGGTGCGAGCCTCGTAGAATCCGTCGCTCCGGCAGGAAGGCCTTCTCCGTGTGGGCATTCATTGCCAGGCCCCAAATCACTTGCTCCTGCTTGAATTGCCCTTCGATGAGGTCCTTCTCCTGGTTGACGGCCTCCTTGCCCAAAAGCTGCTTGACCCCTGTTTCGTAGCAGGCTGCAGAGATCCAAGGGCGTAGTCCCACCAACGGTTCAACCAGGACCGCGTCGTCGACGAGGATCTTGCAATCAAAACCCCCTGCCCCGTCTCGACGAGGGCACCCTGGACGATGAGCACGATGAAACTCCTCCGTAGCCCTCCCCCAAGGGGTCCACTCCCCCGGTGACCCCGAGAACCCAAAGGAAGACACCAAGTACAGCACCGTGAAGGCTCGGCCATGATGACTGGTCGTAGTCCCTTCATCCTGGACCATCGCCACGGAGTTCCAGGGCAAATCACCAGCGAAGAGCTCCACATCCGGCGGGGCAACCCACAGCAGCCTGAACGCGCCCGAGATGTCCTTCTTGGCGATGTTCACCTCAATCCCAGGGTATCTGTGCTTCATAGCTAACACCCGTCGGGCGATCTGATCATGTGTGGGCTGCAAAGCTGGTGGGTGGAAATCCTTGTGCGTCCCCTCATTGATGGGGCGCTGGTCATGCAACACCCGCACCTCCTTCGAGACCGAGCGGTCGGGGAGCATCTTGGGAACTGCTTCAAAGGGAGAGGCCATCGTGTTGCCCAAATTGGGGTGATCTTGACTCGCCACCAGCACCCTGTGCTTTTTGACGTCCTTCCAGATCTGGGCATAGACCTGTTCCAAGTTCTTCTTGGCATTCGGGCGAAGGCTGGCCCTCGCTCGTTCCCTCGGGCCTTGACTTGATGACGGGCGTCCATGCCATGGCGTTTGACATGCCTCAAGTAGGCCAGGAGGTCCGGGTGAAGGATCTGATCCAAGCATGGGTCCTCCACTCCTGCCAAGTTTGCAAGCCCGTGCGCTGCTCGCGCTTGCCACAACCATTGGGCCGCTTCCTTCACACTGCCAGCCCCCCGGAGGAGTCGATCACCCGCCT